AAGTCAAAGATCAAGACGTTTCTTATGGGAGTATGTTCTTCCTCTAAGAAGCAGCAAATAAAGCATCTAAGGTAGGGGGTCTCCTTTATGACTTGTGGACTTCAACTCCCAGAATTCCTCAGCCAGGCAACACCAAGTTTGAAGACCCCTGATCTAAGGTAATGAACTACTTGAGACAAACGTTTTCAGGAAAAATTTCCTTGTCTATGAGAGATACTGACAATCATTAGAATCAGTCTCTGCTTGTGCTATAGCAGTGGTGGCGAATCTATGGCACGCGTGCCAGAGGCGGCACTCAGAGCCCTTTCTGTGGGCACACGTGCCATGCCCCGGAGATGGCAACCATCCCTCTTCAACCAGCCTCCAGCTAACTTGCCGAGGTTCATGTGGCTAGATGCATCCCAGCACCCATGCACTCGCTGGCCTTTGTGTGCAGAGGCCGATGGTGTCAGGCAGCAGCCACCCGGGGCCCCTGCCTCGCCTTGCCTCACCCCGCAGGACAAGCCTCCTGCCCACTGCCCCACCTGCCATAGACCCCCTGGATTTCCCCCAACCTTGCCCGCCCCCACAGGTGTCCCCACGAGCAACATCAAGGAGATCACGCCTACCTTAGCCACACCCACCCAGTCTGCCATGAGCACCACAGCCACGCCCCACAGTGAGCCACCACACCCACCCGGCGATAAATGTGGGTTTTGGGTTGCAGTTTCGGCACTCGGTCTCTAAAAGGTTCACCATCCCTGTGCTACAGTCTCCAGTTACATAAAGGCTTCCCATAACACCTCACTTTTTTGGGACACTGTTCCCCCTAAGACCTTGCTCCCATATTGTTCTTCCCTGGTCTTCATTATCTGAGCAGTATTTCTCCATATGTCATTTTAGGCTTTGCATATTAATGATTTTTGTTATTTATCACTAACGCTCACCATGGTTCTTCAAGATGTCTTACACTTAAAAATGGCATTATCATAACTGAAGTTACAAGTTTCCTTCTTATCAACACAGTCTGAAGGATTTATCATTGTTCTCTTTTCTTGACAGCACACCTGGAAAAGCTTTAGCTTAGGTTTGTTTGAAGATCAAGTCTTACCCGACAAAAAAATACACCATCTGACAACTATTATGGCTAGTTGTCATGAGAACAAGGAAGAATGTTTGAACCTACATATTGATAGTTCATATTTTATAGAACTAGATGCCTCTGCCAGATTTATGTTAGTGTTTGTCATATGTGTCCAAACATTTAATACTTGCATATAAGAGTCAATGCCAACCACTGCTTCTAAATCATTCTCACTAAGTCTCCCTAAGTGTTGGGAGGTCCATGTTTTCCTAAAACACACAATGTATGATTCTTATAGCCTATACATTCTGATCTCTTTGAAATTTTTATAAATAAAGGTCATATTCAAGCCTAATTGCACTATCCAAAAAGTTGTAAATATATTTTCACAAATGGATCCAAATATAAGAATCAAAGTACAAAGCTTGCTTTTAAAAGTTTTCTTTCCTTAGCAGTACATACTATGTGTATATTTTGACCTGGATTACTGAGAAGGAGGATGATGTAATTTTGAAAACTAGAGTTCAGGCTATTACCACATTTTCCAACAAATATTCCTCCATGAACTCACCCAGACAGTGACTCAATTATTCAAACGGTCTCCTTAGTCATGGAACAAGACTAAAATTCTGTGCCTTTACCATTTATAATTCATAGTATCAGCAATATAATTAAACATAGAAAAGTTTATTAACCTACATCAAAAACGTCATTTTTATAGTGCTGTCAATATCCTGATATGCTGGTATTCAAAACAACTTGCAGGATTCTTCCTCATTAAAAAAGCTTGTTGAGCAGCTAAACTAAGCAGGAGTACTGGGAAGTAACCTTGGAAAACCCCTTTATTTTGAATTTTTGCATAAAATTACTATTATTCTAGGTTTTAAGGCAGTTTAGTGGATGTTCCGATTATACTTCTTCTTATGAGGGCAATTCGGAAATAAACCTCTGTTTGGTTATCAATGACAGACACTGACAGATACAGAACTTTTATATGCACATTAGAAAACTACAAGATTACATTACTTTTTGACGTAATTGCCATTCAAATTGAAACACTTGTCATAACGTCTTACAAAGTTTGAAATTCCTTAGTAGTAGTCGCTCGGTGCCAAATCTGGGCTATGGAGGGTGCAATCAAAACATCCCAACGGAACTGCTTCAAAAGTTCTTGGGTGCGTCTAGTGTTGTGGGGGGGCGAGCATTATCGTGAACCAACCCCACAATGGATATCAGCATGCCCCGACACTTGTTATGGATGGTTCATCTCAGTTTTCTTAACGTTTCATTATAGACTTCTGAATTGATGGTCAAACCACACTCCTGAACTTCACTTAGCAATACTCCTTTGGCATCTTCACACTTGGCTGGATTTTCTATGGCACCACTTCACAATAATACTCGCCCGCACAGCGCTAGATGCACCCAAGCAATTCCATTGGGATGTTTTTAATTATAGCCCAAATTTGGTGCCAAGCAACTACTACTAAGGAATTTCAAAACTTGTAAGACATTACAACAAGTGCCTCAATTTGAATAGCGATTATGTCAAAAAGTAATGTAATCTTGTAGTTTTCTAATATGTATAATAAAAGTTCTGTATCTGCGAGTGTCTGTCACTGATAACCAAACAGAGGTTTATTTCCAAATTGCCCTCATATTTGATTTCAATAAGATATAATTAAATAGTATCTCCAACCTGATACTAACATATCTATAATAATATTTTAGCTAAAGACATAGATGACTTACAATATTGTCAAACAGCTGAGCAATTACAGAGAAGTCTATAAGAAAATTGAAAGTCAGCAAAAAAAGCACAAATGGTGAGACTACACTCACAAGCATTTGCATAATTCAATTATTTCCACAACAACTTCAAACCCATGGCTGTTTGAAATGTACTGTTTAAATAGTGCATTATTTTTCTTCTTCATTCAAAGAGCTACTATCTCTTTTGTATTATAAATAGATTGCAATTTTATTTAGCAATCAACTTGAAGTTTACCAACTTATTCAAACCACTGTAAATTATGTAGAATTCAATCTTTCCCTAAACTCTGTCCCCATTTATAAGCCGTTTAACTGCTGTTTAACGAAGTGTTTACTTGACAATGATCAGGTTCATACACTGAGCTATGACAGCATTTATTTTACAACTGGCTGGGTTCATACATGCCTAACAATAAAGCATGATTTACAAATAACAAAAGCTCAGTTCATGGAAAATGCTAAGTCAAAATAAAACAAGTCACAATATAGAACAGCACAAAAGATAAGCCAGTGGCACTCCAAATGTGGCTCAACTTGCCAAATTTCTAGGAAGCATAGCCTATAGTGAAAATTATGAGTTGTAGTTCAACATCTGGAATACTACAAATTGGCATAATATGGATTAGTCTTTCATATGAAATATTTCATTATTTCTTACTCAGTGTCTGAAAGAGAGATTCCTTCTTCTAGTTGCCCATGAAATTTGGCATGTTATATAGCCAAGGCCAGATGTTTTATTCTTAGTAAAGGAATCCTGTGGATTTTATTCCGCTAGTCGTTGCTGACGATAGGGGGCAATGCTCGTCTCCATTTCAAGCTCATTCAGCCAGTGCTGTCCAAAGACATTTCTGTGGTCATGTGGTCAGCATGACATCACAGAGCACTGTTATCTTCCCACCAAAGTGGTACCTATTTATCTTATTGCATTTTTTTATGCTTTTGAACTGCTAAGTTGGCAGGAGCTGAACCCATTGTGCGGAGTTTGGGTTTCGAACCTGGGCTGTCAGCTTTCCAGCTGACAAGCCCAGCATCTTAACCACTAAGTCACCGCACCACTTTATTCTTAGTATTTTTATTTAATTACTATAGCATGGTCCTTTCAATAGAGCACATACTCCTAACTTCAAGACTGTCAACAAAAGTTATATCACATTTTTGCTACTGAAGAGATGGGTGGAAATCTTCAGTTTCTTATGCTGATTTTTTTCAAAGACAAATAAGTTCTCATGGTATCTTCTTATTGCCCTATTCTTCCTCATTCTAATTAGGAAGCATGGGACAAATGTAGCCAAAGTAATTCATGGGATGTGCAGCCCACTTTACCTCTAATAACACATACAGATGAACCAATTTATATTTCCTGCTTCTCGATTTTAATCAAAATAACGTATACATGTATACAATTTCATGAAATAGTGCCTTTCACTTAAAGAGAGACAGTGCATTACCAGGAAGAAAGAGCAAAAGTAGACATATTTGATTGGCTTATTCTAATTTATATAGTAAATTAAAATGTAGATATAAATTAGTAGATTAAAGCATCCACCCAACATATGCTGCTACTATAGTAGAGATGATTGCTAAACAACTTACCAGTATGTCTCTGCTCAATCAACTGTCCAGGTGCTTATTTATTTTAATTCCAGTTTCATTAAGATGGATCATAAATAATTATAACAATTGTGCATTCCTAAATTTTTACTCTACTTAAGTAAAGAAACTTAAGGGCATCTTTCTCCTCAAGCCCAAAACATGATGTTGTAAACATTATGTTCTCCTAATTCACAAAGATGTCTATCTATAGCACAAAATTTACCAACATTACCCATTTCAAAAGCTATGCACATGAAGGTTGAAAGATATGTCATATGTGCCTTCGGTCACTCAAAACTTTATTTAATGCTGTCTGAATTTTTAAATATTTGTCTTAGATCTTCTGAAGTATATTTTGCATATGGCATCTTTCATTTCAAAATGGGACCAGGTCGCCATAGCCAACTTGCCATGGGACAACTCGTCATGGGATAATTCAATTAAATTATTTAAAATAATTAAAAATTATTTTAATTTTTGACATTCACATTTCATTCTGTATCTCCTTTTGCATAGTTTGTTTAATGACTCTATTCCAACATTTTTACAATATTAATGTAAAACAACTCACTTGTTCCGCGGTGAGTTGGCTGAGGCAAATTGTCCTAGGGCCTTCCATGTTCTCCATCCATTTCCTAAAACCATGATTCAGAGATCTTGGTTTAAGTAGAGAATCTGTTAGATGATAATTGTTGATGACAAATGTCCTTACTTATGGCTTGAATGCAAAAACCCCTCAGATGGTGGGTGCTTTCAAAATAATGGACTGTCCTCTGGAAGGCCTTCAACTAGAGAACATCATTCGTAAAATAGGACATATAATTTCCCAGTGGCTACAAGATGAATCCAAAAGGAACAATACAGATGATTGACAGAAGATACATTGTGTTGGTTAATCCCTTTTAGAAAAGGATTGGAAATTGGAGCAGTCAGGAAAACAGCTGACCACTTAATACACATAGAAATAGGGCTGCGCTAGTTGACCCCATACAGATTATACTGAAATACATCTGCATTTCCTGTATTAAGAAATACGTGCAAGTTTTCCTTGTTAGGGAGAGATTGTTCCATCTTCTGCTTTTAATTATGCACTGAAAAATGAAAATGAACCAAGCTATAAGCAAGGAAATAATTCAGAAACAACTGAATTAGTCCCAAAGGCCCATGGAGTCAAAACTACTGTAGAGATTTATTTTGCTTATTCAGTTTGTGTCTCGTTTCTTTTCTAAGGAACAAAATAATAATATTACAGATGGTCTGGACATTCTCAATAGTATTTGGATCGGAAAATAGTTGTTTCATGATGTTTTAAAAAATATATATATATATATATATATATATATATATATATATATATATATATATATATATATATATATATATATATACACATACATACACACATGCTGATTAAATATGAAATTTCTTGCTGTTTGAAACTACCAATGCAGAGAGAAGTAGAGGCTAATCTGCTACTATATTAATGGCATCAGGCTATTCCATTTCTCTTCTGCCAGGCATTTCTATACTTGACTGCAGCCCACTGAAGTAGGAATTATATAAGATATAAAATCTATGATATATAGTAATTTATTTCTTTCAAAAATGTTTGTTTTTTTAACAAATTTAGCCACTTTTAGTATTTTGAGTAACTTTATTATCTGCCCACAAAATAAGGTGGCATAAGAACAATTTGAAAATTCCAGAATTTTTATCAGCTATTAGAGTGTTTCCCTTTCTTTCCGAGCAAAGTATATATTTGACATACTACATTTTTAATTAAAATGATATTCACATTTCACAAATGAATAATACATACACTGCTTTCCAGCAAAATATAATATTTATCCTTTGAATCATGGAGTACAACTGTATTCACAACAGGGAGTTCCATGTCCAGTTAATCTTACCAAGTCGGAGATATCAGTGAAATGAATACAAAACCAGGAAGATAAGGAATGTGATTCTGCTTAAAGTCAACTGCAAGGACATAGAATTTGTTTCTTCAAAAAAATGCCCTCTCATTCTGGTTGTTTTTTATGCAACAGTGAAGTCAATAATTTTTGTGGAGTCCTAGCTTACTGCAAGCTTCATGAAATGTTCTCATTTTAACCTTTGACTGGCTGCTTCGACCTTTTGCCCTTGACCAACTGGTAGAGGTTGATGGAATCTGAAACACTTAAGAGAATAAAAGATCAACAAAGATAAGCTAAGCAGAAATCTCATCTCACTATAGGAAACTGAGTGCCATCACTGAGACAATCCAATCTCCTACCACCCCAACAGATTCTATCACAAATAAGTCACAGATAAGCGTCCTTATATCCATTGTTCAGAATTAGAAGTTCCATATGGAAGGAAGTACAGTAGATCTAAACCATAAAGGTAAAGGTTTCCCCTGCCCAGTTGTGTCTGACTCTAAGGGCTGGTGCTCATCTCCATTTCCTAGCCAAGGGAACCAGCATTGTTTGAAGACCCTTTCCATAATCATGTGGCCAGCATGATTATATGCCAACATGAATGGAACACTGTTACCTTCCCACTGAAGTGGTACCTATTTATCTACTCACATTTGCATACTTTCAAACTACTACATGGACAGGTATACGGAAGCTAACACCAACACACACTGCTTGTCTACACCAAAGATGCTTTTTCATGAGGCAACTGGACTGTTTTTCTTTGAAGACGTTTCATTTCTCAAAAAGCATCTTTGGGATAATATGACCTGGATACTGAGAATCTCTATAGACCCAGTGCCTGGGTCTCAAACCCAGGCTCTCAGCTTTCCAGATAACAAGCTTAGTATCTTTAACCGCAGAGCCATCAGGCCTCCGTGATCAAAACCATACAGATAATAATCAACCTATTGAATGTATAACCGTAATTATTCTATAAAATGTATTAGAAATTGGCATTCAAATGCCTTTTCAAAAACCATAGGTTTCAGAATTCATATAGACCAATATATTTCATACGCCCTTGTGAAGCTTTCTTTGAAGTGACAAAGGCCACAAGGTGGCTTTCCCAAAGGCAACCCGACTCTTCATTTTTTCCTTGAAAATGTTTTGCTTCTCATGGAAAAAAAACAGGAAAGTCCAATTGTCTTTTGGAAAATAACCTTTGGGACAACTATGATCTGGATGATTATTTTTTAGAACAAGTGGTCTGTTATAAAATGACTCTAAAGCAGTGATGGCGAACCTTTCAGAGACTGAGTGCCCAAACTGCAACCCAAAACCCACTTATGCATCGTTGAGTGCTGGGTGAGTGTGGCCCATTGGCTGGGTGTAGCCAATTGGGGGGTGTGTGGTCCATTGGGTGGGCGTGGCTGCAGTGGTAATGGCAGACTGGGTGGGACTAAAAGGTTCAATCAATCAATTCCAACTTTGCAAGATCTTTTTTTTTCCCGCGAGAAGTTGAAATCAACTGATTGATTGAACTTTTGTTTTGCACACGGCGGCAGAGGCCTAAAGCGAAAAGGTTTTATAAAACCAGCTGAAGGCCTAGGACTGGGGCGACGGCGCGCATGCCCACAGATAGGGCTCTGAGTGCCACCTCTGGCACCTGTGCCATAGGTTTGCCACCACTGCTCTAAAGTATAGCATGTCAGCACTAATCCTTTCTACTCATAACAATCTTCATTCAAAAAAAGCTTAGTGCTCCCAACTGGTTTTTAACCTCAGAAAGATCAGTCACTGATGTTCTCCAAAAGACAAAGATATTTAGAAGGTATTAACTTAAATTTTGCTCTGCTCCTTGGGGGGGGGGGGGGGAGTGGAGGAATCTAAACAATGAAAGCACAATGCCTTGGATTTTACAGGTTGTTGGAAAAATACTCATTCATTTTACCAGATGCTGAAAATAAAAGGATGAAGCAGAACACCTGTATTAGCAGATGCCACTAACATAAAATCTGGATGAAGAATGGTCAATAAATGGTCAGGAATATAAATCCTTTCATTCCCCACCATCCTGTCAGAGCTGAAGAAGCTTCTTGGATGAGAAGCGGAAATGTCTTCAAAGAAAAACAAGAAACCAGTTGCCTCTTCAAAAAGCACCTTTTGGTCAACAAAGCATTCCTGATTGTCTTATTTTATCTTTTCTAATAAGCTTTGACCAATTTCCTCTCTTCACTTTGCAAAAACTGTGGGTCCCTTGCCATTCCACATACCTGCAAGAGAGCAGCTGCAGTCCCAGTACTCTCTCTAACTGTAACTTTGAAATGTGGCACCAGTGATTTAACTGCTGTCAAGCTTCAAGTACAGTTGGAGTTTGTCCAGCACATGTTATTTATCTTTCTTCTCCTTATACAAAACTACACACATTCTATACACATCACAGCCTATTACTATCACAGGTCCAACCTGCAGGTGTAGCTTGCTTCTTCTGAAACATCCTTAGACCTTATTCATTTAAAAGTATTAGAGCTGCCCACTGCCATAGGCTCTGTGGCTTACAAATGACAATTCCAAAACAAGAAAAGCCACTAAAAAAAACACCTCATAGACAGAACATCTCTCAAATTCATGTTAACACACATGCACTCCACGTGAAGGAGGTACTACTGTTGGTCAACTGCACTGCAGGAGACAAGAAAAGCAACTTTCCTTTAAAATATTAACACAAGAAGCTCCAACTTCAACTGCAAAACTGCAGAGTTATTGCCGGTTTCTTGACCAGTGTTAGTTTCCCTCTGCTTCTGATTAGCCACTGGAGTAAAATAAAGCCAAAATTTACTTTTATTAAGTATACTTATCCCAGTTTGGGGGGGAAGGGGGAGGGAGAGATGCTTTCTGCTATCCAAGGGTATGTGTTTCAATACCATTTGCAAAGTCGAATTCCTCGAGATATAGATTATTCCTTTCCACCGGTTAAACCTCCCCCCCCACACACACAGAGAGAGACACTTTCCCCCCAAATTAGGGAGCTCCACTCGCAAAGGATAAAAGAATAGCCCGCCCTTTTCCAACTCGCACTTCAGATTATTTCACATCTGTTTCCACGTGATTCTGGAACTGAAGTCGTTTGCTCTTTTCTCAGCAACGTCCACCAAACTTTCCGCGCCGCCTTCCCCCCCCCCCCTCCGAAGGGCTCTCGGTCGTCTTGCACGTTTTACTCACCGCCTAAACTCCGCGATTCTTGACCCTGCAGAGTTTTGCGGCGGGAGGGGGGGGGAGTCGGTCCGTGCAGAAAGGAAGGAGCTCCTCACCCAAGCTTGGAGGGCTAACTCTGGCCGCAAACCCCTCACCCCCCCCCAAGAGGTTTTCCTTCCAACGTGCGCCTAATCCGACCCCCCCCCAGGGAAGCCGGGCCTCCCCCTCCCCCAGCTGCCCATGCCAAAGCGCCCCCTTAGCTAAGGGGAGACGGGAAGGCTGAGGGGGACCAGCCATTCTCGCGAAAGCGTCGCAAACCCGCGCGAAGGGAACCCGACGCTTCGGCGAGTTTCGTCCCGCTGCCGCACCAAAAAAATCCCGCGGAGCTCCGAAACTCACTTGCAAATCCGGGGCGCTGGAGTTTCCTGGATAGAGCCGCGCCGCCGGGCTTCCCATCGGCCAGCAGAAGGGAGGTCGTGGCAAGAGCGAGCTTTCCCCCAGTCTCCCCCCCACACACACACACACCGGCCCTGGAGCTCGCCTCGACACCTCTTTCTCTGCGCCGCTTCTAGCTTCTCCCCTCTCCCTGCCCGGCTCTTGCAGCTGCTCCCGGACTCCGGCGCAGAGAGAGGGAGCGAGAGCGAGAGCGCTGCTGAATTTCGTTTTCCCTGCCCTCTCCAGCTCCCACTAGTGAATACTCGGAGCCAGACGCTTTCCAAAGAGAGAGTCTCTCTACGGCCGAGCCTGCCTTCTTCTACCACGCACACCCCACTTCCCCGTTGAGAACAGGCGGCTACCTTCGTTTAGGAGCTGGTGGTGCACGTGTTACGGAATCCGCCGCGGCCGTGAGAAGCGGCGCGTCCGCTTGCGAGGGACTCGTTCGGGTGGCGCACTTCTGATGCTCCGCGTTCTGCTCTGTGGCTAATTTAGACTGCGGACGCTTCGAGGAAGGCGGGTGCAAAAAGTAGAGCAGAGCGCACAAGCGGGGTGGGGGGGGGGAGTGTCAGCTGGGTTGTAGACACCCTGACTGGGGTTCCTCTCCTGGCTGAGGTTAAAAGTCAGAATCTGCTCGACTGGGCTTGTGTTTTTTGCAGGTTCAACCCACTCTTCTAATAAAGCACGATTAAATAAATCATGGTTTTGTTGGCATGAGTGTAGTCGATGCTTGCCATAAATGCTGCGCAACCGAAAACAACCAAAACAACCAATTTCAGCTGCTGATCGTTTAATCAGAATAGAGCTGGAAGGAACCTCAGAGGTCTTCTAGTCCAACCCCCTGCTCAAGCAGGAGAGCCTATACCGTTTTGGATAGGTGGCTGTCCAGTTGATGAAAATCAACTCTAATAGGGCTGCTGAAATACTACAGTTAAAAAAAAAAAAGTAATCTTAAATAAGCTACACTACTTGAAAGAATACTTTTCAATTTTAGCTAAAATAGCATAAGAGCAGATCTTCCTTGATTTCACTGTCTTAAGCTTTAGGTTTAGGAAAGCTAGGAAGATGGAGGGTTCAGTTAAATATCTGTCCTATAGCAGAAGCTGATGATAAAGCTGTGTCCAATAGCAAACAGGATCCCTTAATGATCAAGGATCACTTGATAAAGCGGTTTGAGGTCCTTTTTGCCAAAGCCTTAGCTGTGTTTGGAAAGATCTGGATACCAGAAGTCTGAACAATGTTTTACTTTATTAATCACATTTATATGGCCACTCATATTACAAAAATATTATATATCCTCATTTGACTTATATGACAACATTTACTACTCATTGTTTAGTCAAAGAGTATATTCAGTCAAACAGCACTTTTATTACAATCACCCCACAAACATATAAAAGAACCAGGTATGTTTCCAAATTAGACTAGCCTCTTTTTCCAGTTGTCTTTTTTTTAAAAAGTGAAATTGTAGAAAATAGATATTTGTGACTGAAAGACTGAATCACTCTTGTCTGAAATTCCTGTCAATCACTGCAAGATGGTAATATTGTCAATTTTCATCTCTTCCACTTCTCCTTGTTCCCTCTAACACTGTTATGTTCACCCTGCACTACAGCATTGCAAACTTGGAACTATTTTTGTTTGTGAATACATAATGCAATGGATACGTGTTTGGGGCAACTATTTGTACATATTTGCATGGAGAAAAGAATACTAATGGGCCAAGGATAACTAATGGCAGAAGAACTTTCCTGTTTTGCATTCATAAGTCTTTTCAGGTTTTCCTCGTCGCTACCGTTTATGAGCCGAGGTGGTGCAGCAGTTAGGGTGCAGTACTGCAGGCCACTTTAGCTGACTGTGTTCAGCAGGTCAGCAGTTCAAATCTCACCAGCTCAAGATTGACTCAGCCTTCCATCCTTCCGGGGTAGGTAAAAGAGGACCCAGATTGTTGGGGGCAATGTAAATATATATATACATTGCTTACTGGTGTACACCACTTAGAGAGTGCTTGCACTTAAAGTGGTATATAAGTCTCATAAATAAATAAATGCTCACTTTACAAGAAAGCATTGCTATCTAAGTAAGTAGGGTCATGGTCCCATCCAAGTGGTGCATTTGTTTATAATAATAATGTTGGAAGGGACCTTAGAGGTCATCTAGTCCAACCCCTGCTCAGGCAGGAAACCCTACACCATTTTGGACAAATGGCTGTCCAGTCTCTTCTTAAAAACTTGCAGTGTTGGAGCCTTCCAACCTGCTTTTTCTCCAAGGACCCCCATGCTTTTCCTTAGTGTCTCAATTAGTTCTCAGTGTAAAAGCTATCTGGAAAGGAAATTTTCTCAAAAGATTGGGTATTGAAGACTCATTGGAGGTTTCAAATTCTAACCCACCTAGTCTTAAAACATTATTGATATGTGTCTGAGTCACACAAATCGTTTTCTTTCTTTCTTTCCCTGTGATGAAGGAAATTTGAGAAAGGAACAAAGAAGGTGTCTCAAGATTTTAGGATACTGAAACAGACCAAGGAGCATGCAAACCAGTTCAAAAGCAAACACAGAGAAACAAAAAGTGCCTCCACCTGACCTGTCACCCACTTTGAGGACTAAGCCTTTGATTAAGTCCTTGACATGTTCGGTGAAATCTTGTTTGCCTTCTCCTTTCATGCACCTTTGAGCTTCTAGGCTTTACCTGCTGGGATCCAAGCCAGGACTGTTCAAAGTGTGCAAAGAAAGTTTAAAATTGACTGAACCTCGAAGAGGAAATACTGGAAGTATGACAAGAAAGTTTGCTCTTGTTTGATTTGTGAATCTTTTGTTGGTAAAACTGAGTTCTGACATTATCCTCACGCGTCCAGAAGCTCTGGAATATCCAAGCAGGTTTTCTGTGCCTAGCATGGATCAATATTAATTCCTGCTCCTTAGTGCATCTTTTCATCTCTCTTGTGGAAATGTTTCTTCCAGTATAATCGTGTATCTTTCTTACCACAAGATGATCTGCTGAGAAAGAGAGAAAGTCATCCAGGTCATGGTTGTCCCAAAGGTGCTTTTTCAAAAGGCAACTGGACTTTCTTTGTTTTTCCCTAAAGAAGTTTCACTTCTCATCCAAGAAGCCTCTTCAAAACTACTTCTTGGATTGGAAGCAAAACATCTTCAAGGAAAAACAATAAAGTCCAGTTGCCTTTGGGATTACTAATGGGAAGCATTTATTTTCCAAACACTGATTTCCCATCTCTCTTGTAGAATAAAGCATGGAGAGAGTGTGCAGTGAAGCACCACAAAACATGTGTATACTGTGCCTCTACATTTAAAGATCATTAAGTTATACCACACTTCGTACTTATAGTGGCACAAAAGTAAGAGCAGTAGAACGCACATCTGTGACAGTGAAAAATTCCATATCTGCACACATAAAGTCCATGCCTACACTTTTATTATCCCTTGGGAAAACTCTGTCCACACAAGATTCTGAATCAAAGAAATTGGTTGTGCATAGATTAGAGGCTTACAATTGTTTTGTTTTCTGGAAGGACTACTTCATTTACTGCTGCTGGGGTTGTCAGCTGCAAAAGTAGTAAAGAATTGTCTAAATCTAAAATGATTTCCAAAGCAATCAAACAAAAACAGCAAAAACACTCAAGCTCTCAAGAGGGTGTTTTTTTTTTTTTTAGTGATTTCACCTCCATGATCTCAAAGTGTTGAGAAGTATTCTGAGCCTTCTTCAGATATCCTATTAAGCCAAGGCTCCTATCTGGAGCCATCAAAACTAAATAAAAAATATATCAGCACTTGCACAAACACCCACAGCTCCAGAAAGTTGAGATGTTGCCTCTTTCTAAAGATTACAAGATGCATTAACACTTTTAAAAAATACTATTCTATCAACAACTGAGGATTGATAAACCTGTATTGTATCTCTGTATCCACTGGTCCAGAGATTTTTAGGAAAAAAAAATACAAAGAGATCTAAGTTGTATGTTTTATGTTCCACAAAATGATGTTAAACATTAACCTTTGTTTGTTCAGATAGATTTTATTTCTTCAGAGCTAATTTATTCTGATTATCGTTTTAGGGTATTATTCTCATCCAACTTCATTAAGATGCCAGTATTAGATTGTATCAATTTCTGCTATTACTCTACCATGTGTCACTTTTGCTTATGTGTAAGTATTAAAACTAATTGCATAGTACCATTACCACCATTTTTCCAAAATGTGTTGACATTTTATAATAGCCTCATTTCCTAGCAAAGTAAAAATGAGATAATAATCTTCCTACAATTAATTTGTTGTTGTTGTTAGTTGCGAAGTCATGTCTGACCCATCACAACCCCATGAACAACGTTCCTCCAGGTCTTCCTGTCCTCTACCATCTTCTGGAGTCCATTTAGTACATGAGCCGAGGTGGCGCAGCAGTTAGAGTGCAGTACTGCAGGCCACTTTAGCTGACTATGTTCAACAGGTCAGCGGTTCAAATCTCACCGGCTCAAGGTTGACTCAGCCTTCCATCCTTCCAAGGTAGGTAAACTGAGGACCCAGATTGTTGGGGGCAATGTAAATATATATATACATTGCTTACTGGTGTACACCACTTAGAGAGTGCTTGCACTTAAAGCGGTATATAAGTCTCATAAATAAATAAATAAATAAATAAATTTAAGCTCACCCCTACTGCTTCAGTGACTCCATCCAGCCATCTCATTCTCTGTTGTCCCCTTCTTCTATTGCCCTCAATCTTTCCCAGCATCAGGCTCTTCTCCAGTGAGTCAATTACAATTAATATTATTATATAATTGGAAGAATTCAATGTGTTGAAACCAAAGAATTATTCAGTTATATATCAAACCAGAGCAGAAAATAAGAAAAGGCATTTTGTCCCTGTCTCTCCCTTCATAGTACTTTTTATGCTGTTCTTTATTTGCTTCTCTATATACAACTTTCACAGAGCAGCGTGTGTTTAAAAAAGGAACACCAGAAGTCTCAAGAGATTGTAGTTAAATCTGCAACAAAATGCCTGGAGAAAGTAATAGGTCTTAAATGTCCTGCAACAAGCAAGCCTGGAAAGATGTTCACAAATCTAGATGCCATCACATTAGAGCCTAAGAATAGCCCTGTTTTGATCAGGCTAAGCAGCTTAATCCAGCAGTTGGTTTCTCACAGTGACCAACCAGAAGCTTCTAGAATGCTGCTATACAGGAGATGGAGACCCTTCCCAGTGTTTTTTTTTTTTTCTCGGAAACTTGTATTTAAAGTCCTGATGCCAGCAAGCCAGAGGTACCTGTTAGTCTTTGAACCCTTGGTAAATCTGTCCTCTATGAATTTATCCAATCCTGTTTTAA